TGCCGTAGATCAGTAAAAATATACGGCACCTTGTTATCGGGCCGAAATTGATACAAGTGACAGGATAAATAATTTTTTTGTCTATGTATATGTTATTGATTGCTGACGACATTGCAATGTTTACTACCAATCCTACAACTTCAGTTCAACCAGGTATATGAGTATTCACAAAAATGGGGTTTGAAAATTAATGTAAATGAAATCAAAATATGTATTTTTGAAAAGAGAAAATCTAGACATAATTATAGATGGTTTATAGATAATAAGCCTATTGAAATAGTTGATTCATTTTGTTATGTTGGTGTACAATTATTTTATACTGGTTCTATGGTTAATGCTGTAAACACTTTAAGCGACCAAGCTCTGAAGGCATATAACAATTTGTTGTCCGTGTTTAGTAGAATTTAACTAGACATTAACACTAAATTGTCCCTATTTGACTCTGTCGTTGTTCCAATACTATTGTATGTATCTGAAGTCTGGGGGAATATATAACTGCAAAGAAATCGACAAATTGCATCCCCGTTTTTGTAAAACATTCCTTGGTGTTCGTACTCAGACTTCCAATGCTGCTGTGCTTGGAGAGTTTTTTCACTTACCTTTATCTGTAGTATGTAAAGAACGTGCTCTTAAATACTGGTTTAATATAATGAAATGTCCAGGATCATTAGTACATGCACTATTTTTAGAACAATGTGCTTTTTTGCCATATAATACCATGACTACTTGGTCATCGTCTGTTAAAAAACAAATTGATAGTCTTGGATATAGCTACTTATGGAATTATCTAAACTTTGATATGAATTATATGCCAATGTTTAAACAAAGGCTGCTTGATCAGTACGTTCAAACATGGAAAGATACAATGATGAATTAATCTAAGTTACATTATTATAGAAAATTCAAATGTGAGTTTAAATATGAAAAGTATCTAGATAGTGTTACTAATGAGCATCAAAGAAAAGAATTGTCTCGTTTTAGAATCTGTTCTCACCTTCTTGAAATTGAAAGTGGTAGTTTTGCAGGTATTGATCAAAACCTACGAACTTGTAAACTTTGTTCACTTAATGTTGAATCTGAATATCATTTTTGTTATGCTGTCCACTCTATAGAAACCTTCGTCGAAAATATAATGTTAATTATTCGTTTCCATGCATAAATAAATTTACTACATTATTGTCTTCAAATAATAACAGAGCTATTAGAAATATTGCCAAATTTGTATTTTATGCTATGTAATTGAGAAATGAAAGACTAACAATTATTGCTGTTTCTTAGGTACTTGTGTTATAACTGTCTTGCATTATTGTATTTATGTTTAATGTAAGTAGTATTATATTGGCCATCCTTTTGTATATTGTTAGATGTATGACCAATTGTATATTGTATATGCCGATTTGCCAATAAATTGGAAATGAATATATTTATCACCCTGTCGGCTATTATGTACGAAAGGCTTACATAGACATATGTTACACATGTAGAGAAGGTTCTTTCATAAAAATGTCTACTTCATTTCTAAACACATTATGCATTGGAACTTACGTTTTTGTAGTTTTTATTTTCAATCACTAAAAGCATTAGAACCAATGAGCCCAAGTGACAAGAAACATTTGTGTCTGTACGTAGGAAAATAATGTATAAGTCATTTAGTTTATTACTAGTATTATCGTTTATCAACTCTTTACGCATAACATGAATTGAATGACTGCAATGAAGAGCTTTATAATCATAACAAATAGAATGTACTCGAAAACTGTGTCAATTACGAGGTCAACTGATATATGCCTCTCATGAAATATATAATTTTGTTCAAAGTTCTCAGACAAATAACAACACTTTGGCTGATTGTACTTTATATCAACAACACTTTATTTGGGATTGAAATCTTACAATAACTGACATTACCAGGTATCTTCAGAAACTAAGAGGATTATTAGTGTTGTCTTTCAGTATAATTTGTTCTCTAAAAACAGAATGTTTTTTCAGAGATGTGGATGACATTCAATTGAAGATTTTGCACTTGTTAGATCATTACTTGTAATGCATATTTATTTCATTTATTTGTATGATGTTTAAAAACCCTTCGGTTTTACACAAAAACAATATGTCGGCGAAACTTCCATTAACGAATTAACTTACACCGCTCCGCCTGGAGCAAATTTAACAAATCCCCTGTCGCTGAACATTTTCACCTTGAGGGACACAGTTTAAAAGACGTGTCTCTCTATTGTATTGAACACAACACACAGTGGTAAGATAGAACACGCAAATTACGCGAGTCATACTGGATTCGCCGACTTAATACGTTTGACCTACAAGGAATCAATAAAGGAGATTACCTTTAACATAGATAATTGCCTATATCTGACAAATTGCTTGAAACCCCTTTTTAAATAAACAGTCGGGACGAGGAGGGCCCCTTTTTTGGTGCTTTGGGGCTTTTCATCTATTTTCATTTAAAAATTTTTTTTCTACTTTTTAACACTTAATTTCACTTATTTTTACTTTTTTTGTTTTTTTGGGCGTTTTGGCTGGCGTTCATTGAACGCCGCCTTTCCTTGTTGATCTTGATTATCATATTTTTTATGAAAATAACAATTTATGACATTATACTTTTAGTAAATAAACACAAAACGCCTTTATTTATGTAGTTTAATTTTTTGTAAAAAAGTTTAAATTTCCCTAAGATTCGACATTATATCAACGTTACACCATATTGTCCGCGAGCTATATTATTCTTTTGTAAAGTATAACAATAATGACCATTCAATAACGGTCTTTTCATAGTCCATGCAATTTTGTCACCTTTCGAGCGACGGTGTTTCAGTACACGTATAGAGGTTTTGTGCTCTATTGTGTGCATATTATACATGTAATACACTCCTGACGAAAACATTACACGCCGAAAGTACTTAGGTATTTACACTTTAGCAGTGTATGAACGTTTATTTTCTCCCAATTTATTGTTATTCTGTCTACGTTACTGTATCCGTCTTGGGATCCAGGGTTTTTGTTTATGATAATATTAAAATCTGGAAACAAAGTAATCCTTACTTGTTTACAGACTCAAACTACATGATAAAATTGCAAGGTCGAGTATGTTAACGAGACACTCTGTAAAATGTTAAACAGCAACCTGCTTAAGCCCCTAGCCCGGGAAAAAGCCTTAATGTTAGATTGCAATCAGTATTCTGCTATGTCAAATATATTAATATAATTAATAACCACCCAAGAAAAAATAAAACAAAATGCTTTTTACAGCTATTACCAGTTGCTTTAACACATGAAAACTATTGATATAATAATTAGTATTTGCATAAAATCCTTAATTTGAGAGTGAAATCATGGAAAAAACTAGCTTATTCTAAGATACAAATTTAATCTTATTAATCAACTGGCTGCTATTGTCGAGAATTAAGAGATGTGTCTGTTAAGGTTTGGACAGTTTCTTATAATGTAACTGTATAATGACATATCATACAAGCCCTTGTCTCGTATAACAAAACAAGTACTCTTCTATATCATTCACTTTATCCATCACTTTCATATATTTAAAAGGATATTCCATGAAACAAAAAAAAAAGACTCTCACAATTTGAACTTTGTCACAAATACAAAATTTCATTTTAAGTTTTATAGGTATTTTAATTGTAATTAAATGTTATTAACATTTGGTACTGTTGCACTAATTTAGAGGATCACACCATCAAATCGCTGGCGGGATTCGAAACCACATTATTAAGGGCCAAGTTGTCATTTGGGATAATAGATTTCATTAGTTTAAGTGTCAAGATTGACTACTGCTAAAGTGTGTTCAAGGGAAGTGAGAAATGTTTCATATTACATACCAGTATAATACAGAGTTTGCAGGTGTAACATCATTTTTGGCTTTTCGGAAACATACTGCTATGTATTCGTTGTATTCTTTCTTTCTTATGTGAACGAGTTTTTATGGCAACGAAATAAACTTTTCTCCACTGATACGTACAGTCGCGTAACTTCATAGTCAATCATAAATAAGAGTATAGAAGCTTTGCATCATGACTTATTATGGCCTGTTTTCCTTTATGGAGATAGTTTCTCGGGTGAAAACTTAACCATGAATCTTTGCTTTTAATAAATAATAATGCAAAATATGTATCGCCGTCTATTAATACTTTATGTATTTAAATAAGCAGAAGCAAGCAGTTTTTGCCTTTATTCGTTTTAATCACAAAATTATCATGCATTTGTTTAAAGTCATTACTTTGGCAGATTATAGTCCTGTAATTTAAGCGTAAGTTGAATTAATGAAACTTCTGAGTACGTTGAACTTCCCTGATTCAGATATATCATTTTGATATATCATTTGCATATTGTTTAACCAGTCACAAATATGTGAGGGTGTTTTAAATTGGTTCTATAAATTACACTATATCCGCTATTTATCATTCACAGTGACGGCAGCTTCCGTTTAGTTAAATCAATACAGATATTTGCATCTTAACATTTTATTCCTAGATCCTTAAGTTGTCCATATATAAATTGCATTTTTTTTGTAATCTTCTAATGGTCTAATATAGTCTTTGCTAAGTTGAGTCATATTAACATCTCGGCGGATCGTTTTCGAAAAACATGATTCAAATACAGTAAATATTGGTTTCTTCAAAACTCAACAACCTATGAAAGAAGTTAAGGATGTGTTTTCAAATTAAAATTTATCCTGTTTTAAACAAAAATAGATATTGAACCAAATTAATTTTTATGACCTTTGTATCTAAAGAACTGAACTGAAGGTTTTGCTTTTTTTTAAAAGACTAACGTTTACAAAATCGTGCAGTTTACGACAAAATCAGTATGAATTATCTCTAATGAACATACTTAATCAGACGGGGATACTAGTAAACGTTTTGCATTTATTTAAATTTTTATGTTCTTGTTGAATATTCCCTTTTTCACAAAATTTAAAGTAAAATATATTTTATATAAGCTATGCCGAATAGCATCAGCAAACTTTATGCGCCGCCACGGGAGGTACGGGTTTTAGCCGTTCGTAGAGACGGCTGAACGGATAATAGCCCTACATAAAATCGTCTTGAACCAGTTAGCAATTACTAAGAAGCGTAGAAAGAGGAAGCAACAATTTTTAGAGAAAGTGATTTGATATTTAGTGATTTTATATAGCTAATTTTACGGACATTTGTGGATATCATAGGACACAAAACTTAATCTGGAAAGTACCAGGTTGGATATATTTGTTTCTTTGGTGTGATTACCACCGATTGTTTAAAAACTTTGTTTTCTTTATCTGTTTATATCGCCGTCTGTCACCGAGTCAAAACGGGAATGTGGCATTGGGTCGTATTCAAACTGGAATACGTGTGGCTATTTTAGGTCACAGTTTTATTCGTCGGCTGCATGAAGACTTTAAACAAAATTCATATCCCGCAAACTACGATTTGGAAGAGTGTTCCGTGGTCCACTTTGGTATAGGTGGCTTTAGAGTATGTGATGGTGATGCAGTTACGTATTTCAGCTCAAAATTTGGGGATTTTCTGAGACAAGTTGAGCCAAACATCGTACTTCTTCAATTAGGAGGTAACGACGTCGATTCAGTAAAATCTTCTCTGGACATTGCCAATAGAATTGAAGAAATTACAGCTCTAATTATTCAGGAGTATGCTGTAGAGAAAGTTGTAGTGTGCGAAATATTCACCTGTGCTCGACCAACGAAAGTTACGTCAGATTTATTTGAACACAAACGCTTGCATTCAGTATCAATCCTGCAAACTCTTTTGGATATGCATGATAAAGCAAGATTCTGGAAGCACAGAAGGCTGTTTTACTCACAGACTCCCATATTCCGGAAAGATGGAATCCACCTTAACCACAATGGACAGCGACGCTTTTACAGGTCCTTGAGACATGCCATCATGTCAGCTGTTAGATCGGTAATCAAGGATCGGTCGTAGGGGAGTATTGTTAATTTTTATTTTTTTTGGTATATTAGTTCATCATAAAACCTGTCTGTTGATAAGAAGTGTGGAAGGGAATAAAGCCAGTATAAATAATATGATATCATAGAATAGAATATTATAGCTTGTAGAGTCACTATATTCATAATATTATTTATGTTATCATGAAGATAATAATTACGGTATAGTCTTTACAGAGACAATTAACTTAATTATTGTTGTCTGAGAGCCATTGGGCTATAGCAGAAATTTTATAAATTTTTATAAGCCATAAATAGTCTTTAGCAAAATATAAAAAAAAACTCCAAAGTAGAATATAAACAGACAATGATCACAATCACTTAATGTCTACCATTATAATGTTCAATTGTTTGGAACACTTTCTGTGCATATCACATTAAGCACACAGATCTTTAACTTTATTCAAATTATTATGTTTGTTTTCTTTGAGCCATTGTGCTTTAGCACAGCTTTATTTTCTGTGAGCCATTTAGCATTAGCACAGGTTTTTATATTTTCTGCGAGTCCTTAGGGCTTTAGCGCAGGCTTAAATAACATGTTTTCTGTGAGCCATTGAGCTTTAGCACAGGTGTGTATATTTTCTGCGAGTCCTTAGGGCTTTAGCGCAGGCTTAAACAACATGTTTTTTTCTGTGAGCTATTGAGCTTTAGCACAGGTTCTTATATTTTCTGCGAGTCCTTAGGGCTTTAGCGCAGGCTTAAATAACTTGTTTTTCTGTGAGCCATTGGGCTTTAGCACAGGTTTTTATTTTTCTGCGAGTCTTGAGGGTTTAGCGCAGGTTTTTTTTTTTTTTTTTTCCCCTGTGAGCTTTTGAGCTTTAGCACAGGTTTTTATTTTTCTGCGAGTCATTGAGGGCTTTAGCGCTGTTTTTATTTTTCTGTGAGCTTTTGAGCTTTAGCACAGGTTTTTATTTTTTCTGCGAGTCATTGAGGGCTTTAGCGCAGGTTTTTATTTTACTGTGAGCTTTTGAGCTTTAGCACAGGTTTTTATTTTTCTGCGAGTCATTGAGGGCTTTTAGCGCAGGTTTTATTTTTCTGTGAGCTTTTGAGCTTTAGCACAGGTTTTTATTTTTTTGCGAGTCATTGAGGGCTTTAGCGCAGGTTTTTATTTCACTGTGAGCTTTTGAGCTTTAGCACAGTTTTTATTTTTTTGCGAGTCATTGAGGCCTTTAGCGCAGGTTTTTATTTTACTGTGAGCTTTTGAGCTTTAGCACAGGTTTTTATTTTTCTGCGAGTCATTGAGGGCTTTAGCGCAGGTTTTTATTTTTCTGTGAGCTTTTGAGCTTTAGCACACGTCTTTATTTTTCTGCGAGTCTTTAGGGCTTTAGCGCAGGTTTTTATTTTTCTGTGAGCTTTATTTAAGTTATTTAATGACTGGACCGCCATAAATTTATGTTTACTTACTTAATGTGTGAATATATCTTTTTAAATAGCATAAACACTTAGGTTATGAAAGAGGAAGATAGAGAAATTGTCTATCTGGCAGTAATTTGTCATGGTCATTAATGCCAGATGCAAGATGCCTTGGAAGTAAGTTAGGGTCATAAAACTTTGTTCATGCTTAATTCAGTACCCCTGCAGAGATATTGGTATCATCAAACAGGATAATAGTAACATTGAACTGTGAATTCTTTGATGTAGGCATTGATATACATTCTCATCCCTAAGATGTCCATGCTTTATTGTATTGCTAGCTAATAACTTTATCAGTATGTTTAAGCAAATGGAAGTAGAATGATCATAAACAATAAAAGATAAAAATAAATAATAATGATAATAAATATTGAAATACAAAAGTAAATAAATAAAAAATGAATACATATTAAACAAGTGAACAAAGTATTAAAACTTAATACATATCTATATATGTATATATTTTGTTATATAAGTAAATAGTAATAAAAAAAAAAAAAAAATAATATATATATATAATAATAATAATAATAGATAAAAAAAAATAAATAAAAAATAAAAAATACATATATATATATATTATAAGAATCATAAAATGTTATTAATTAATAATAGCCAGAATTTTAATGGGTGGTATCTCTTATATGGCAACATGAAATTAAAATGATAAAAAAAACATAAGCATATATTAATTACGAATTAAATAAAATTATGGATTTATTCTTATTAAGAATTTAAAGTGTTACTATTTTTAATTTAAATATTTGCTGCAAAGGCCATGCCTCCAGTGTCATGTACCAGATTATATTAATCTGGTACTATTATAATAGTAGTCAGTTCCTAATGAATTGATATTTAATGTTTCAGCGGCAAAGGCCATGCCTCCATGTCATGTACCAGATTATTATATTAATCTGGTACTATTATAATAGTAGTCAGTGTTTTTGATTTTGTTATGAATAACAAAACCTTAAATAAATAAAATATGGCAGTTTTATTATAATTATTGTTATTTTATTTTCGTATCGACTGACCGTTATACTCTTCAATACAATTACTACCGACATACATATCCGCTATGTAAAACAACAGTTAAGGGAATATACCTTTGAAAATGAATTTATGTTTTTGTTTGAAAAACAAGGTACTTGTTCTCTCTCATTTATTTTACAGGAGAGCCTTGAAGAGAATCTACAAACTTTGCTTACAGCTACTAGTAAATACAAAATTACGGAAGTACCAGTGTACGAGATTATACCACAAAACATTAAAGAAGGACATCCACATACAGGGAATAATTAGTTTTATAAAGGAAATAAAACCTAAACATGACCACAAACAATCTGACGGATGGAAACACTTAGATGACTGTTCTTACATTCCAGCATTTGGAATAAAAAAACAATAAAAAAAAACAAAAAAAACAAAAAAAAAAACAAAAAAAAAACAAAAAAACAAAACGATTTCTTCAAAATAAAAACTGATGCAAAAAACAAACCGACTCCAAATATTTCAATTTTTTAACATTTCTTGAGTGTGAACCATTTCATAAATCTTTCATATAAGTACATGATAAAATACATGAGGCACCTTGAGGAGTTTGACAATTTTACATATCATGTATACAATATCATTGGTGAGACTTTCTGGATTTTGATTACAACTTTAAGACACTGACACTGATCTGTGATATCTTGTGAAACTTTACCCACTGCTACCATAATTGGGGTGTATGGTAATAAGTAGACAATTCATTTAGACATAAATTTAAAAGTCGAAAGAGTATTAATAACACACCTTTTTTTTATACTGACAAACTCATATTTTATAGTGACTGATTGTCATAATAACATAATAACAATTTAGTTAAATTTCAACAAATGAATTTTTTGTAAAATTAATTATTTGTTGGAAGTTCTCGTTGCGATATCGGGCTACAAGTACATGCAAGTCTGATAATTTACATAATTTTAGCATATACCATTGCCTGCCTGCAATGCAGAAATGATAATCATTACAATATTACATAACACTGCTGATAGTACTATTGAACACATGCAATGTTAGTTGATAGGTAATCAATATCACTGTAGTGTAGCGTAGTTTAAGTACCTGTGTTAATTAATACCAACATGTAACAAATCGTATGGATGATTTTATAGGCATTTAATAGGTCCATTTTGTTAGACTTATCAATCTGAAACTTACTTCTGAAGCATTTAAAGAATTATATTCATGTAATTCAGTACAACTGAATTTATAAGATGGTAACGATTATGAAAAATTACAATCCTAGCGTGTGTTTATTATTAACGTCGAAAGTGTTATTTACATTATATGTTATTCATTTAATCACGAGTTTCTTTATAAATTTTAGAAATACTATACATTGTTATTTTAACACATATTTGTTGATAAATAAATGTGTTGTTTTATTTACGACACCATTTAAACATATTGTGATGTATTCTAAGTATATTAGCAATAATTATGCGTTATTGACGTTAAAACATTCCCTAAATTGACTACGTATGTAACACAGTGATATTGTGTCTATAACACATTTCTAATTTGCAGCATCATTGTGTATGTTAAATATGAGATGCTAGAATGAAAGATATAACTTTTTGGTTGAAATTGATTTAATTTGACAACATTGTCAAGATTTATGCATTAAACGATTTACAAGTTAATAGATTTTAATCTAATAGAGTGAATATGTGAGCATTACGATAATCCCAGGTTTACGACACTAGTTTAACATATGGGGGTGTATATTAACTACATGTATGTGTTGTTTAAATATTAATTATAATGTATGCATTAATTATAAAATTATATTGTATTTTATTTTCAAACTATGGCATCCTGTACCTAATAAATATTGTTGTTATGAGACAGTACTTGTTTAGATATTAGTTTAACATATTGGGGTGTATGTTAAATATGTAGTGTTTAAATGTTAATTTTAACTTGTAAATTGAATTAACAATTACCTAAAGTTTGTATGTTCTTTTCGAACTATGCATTCACTTAAGGAATAAAATGTCTTAATAAATTAAATCACAGTTAGACTAGTTTAACATATTGAAGTATATGTTAACTATGTATTGCTTAAATGTTAATTATAGCTTATATATTGAATTTAATTTATCAGTTTAACAAATCAAAATGTTTTTGTAGTTTAACGCACAAGAGTGATAATAAACTATGTATAAATAACACAGTTAATCCTAACTTTATTTTGAACTTCATGTTTTACTTAAGAACAGTTTGTGATAAATATACATTGATAAGATGAGATAAGATAAGATCTGTTTTATAGTGACTCTAATTTTAACATTCTTGGTTTTTCAAGAACAATACTAATAGTGATAGTAAGTGTATTTTTATATGTATATACTTTTATATGTAGACAACAAGAATTTTCATAATTATCTATATTTTTGTCTGTAAATTGTAAATAATCTTTATGTCACAATTCGTTTTATTAGTAACCATCAACCAATTTCTTTAAGATATGTATTTCAACTTATACTGTAACGTTAATTAAATCTGTTCTATATGTCTAGAAATTTACAATTGATTATTTTATATGTCTGAAATATATTACAACTGTATATTTCTTTGATCTTATGACAGCACAATAACAGCAGGAGGCGCGCAAATCGTACACTTTTGGACTTTTACCCTATTATAAGTTTCCTTTTGTTTTGTTTACTTTCTAATTTTGCATATTATCATTTTGTTACTCAAAATGCATTAACTTAACTTTTATGTTTTAGCAGCCTACTTACTTGAAGTAAAGGTTTGTAAAATATTTTTCAA